GACCAGTAAATCGAGAGCTTCGCCTTACAGCTCAGCTCCTTCTTCACCACAACAGACCGGTACATCGACCGCATTACTGCAGAAGCTGCACCGATCCACCTGTCAATCTCCCGTTCCATCCTTCCCTCACTCGTGAACAAAACCCCAAGATACTTGAACTCCTGCACTTGAGGCAGGAACTCTCCACCAACCTGAAGGGAACAAGCCACCCTTTTCCGACTGAGAACCATGGCCTCGGACTTGGAGGTGCTGATTCTTATCCCAGCCGCTTCACACTCGGCTGCAAACCGCCCCAGTGCACGCTGGAGGTCCTGGCTTGATGGAACCAACAGGACGTCGTCATCTGCAAAAAGCAGAGATGAGATCCTGTGGTCCCCAAACCAGACTCCCTCCGGCCCCTGGCTGCCACAGTCCAACGTGCACCGAACAAGTCTGACTTACTGCCGGCAATGCGAACCAAGCTCCTGCTCCGGTCGTACAGGGACCATACGGCCCTTAACAACAGTCAATGGAAACCGAAAACTTCAGCACATGGAGGGCTGTAGTCAAAATCACACTGAAAATTGAAGTCACAGGCTCATCCAAGTTGCATGAATTTCATCATGGCGACTCATAATATGACTCAGAAGCGTGTATGTATGCACCCCCAACAACATCTTGGCACGGCTCCTGATATGTCGGCAGATGGTGTCCTTGGAGATCTCCTCCCAGTGCTGGATCACGGCATTGGTGAGCTCCTGGACAGTCTGTGGTGGTATTTGGTGGCATCAGATGCACCGATACACAGTGTCCCATAGCTGCTGAAATGGATTTAGGCCAGGGGAATGTGAGAGCCAGCCAGTGGCATCAATGCCCTCATCATTCAGGAGCCGCTTACAGACTCTGGCCACATGAGGCCGAGCATTGTCCTGTGCCAGAAGGAAGCCAAGGCCCACTGCACCAGTGTAAGTTCTGACAGTTGCTGACAGTGTAGATTTCATTCCAGCACCTCACAGCAGTCAGGGTACCATTGGCAATGACATGGAAAACCTGCTCTCATCTCACCTGCCAATTCTGGTGTTCACTGGCAAATGCCAGTTGAGCTGCATGGTGCTGGGCTGTGAGCACAGGTTGTACTAGAGGACATCAGGCCCTCATGCCACCTTCATGGAGACAGTTTAGTCAGAAACATGCACACCAATAGCTGCTGGAGGCCATTTTTAGGGCTCTCACAGTGCTCCTTCTGTTCCTCCTTACCCAAAGGAGCAGATACCGATCCTGCTGCTGGGTTGTTTCCTTCTACGGCCCTGCCCAGCTCTCCTGGTGTTTCCTCCATGCTCTTGAGACTGTGCTGGGAGACACAGCAAACCTTGTAACTGGATGTCTGTGCAACCTGATTGGGCTGCAGGTACTGCCTCATGCTACCAGTAGTGACAAGGACACAACCAAAACACAAAACCTGAGAAGAATCAGTCAGGAAGGATAAGGAGCGAGCATTTGTCTGTGGCTACCACATGCAAAACCATTCCCCTTTTTGGGGGTTGTCTTGCTTTTGCCTCTCCATTGCACCTGTTGTCACTTTCATTTGCACCAAAGCAGGTGGAACTGATTCACAATCACTTGTGGTTCCCAAATGGACAGATTGTTATCCCTGAAGCTTAAATGACTTGTTATACTGTGATGATCAAGTGTTCCCTTCATTTTTTGAGCAGTACATGATATGTATTGACAACAAATTTGTCTTTGACTGGATGGTTATGGCTCTAATGACTGGAGAAACATATCAGTAACAGTCTCTTCATTTTGACATGACCAGTAATGACTGGTCCTGTTTAAATGGGTGCTCATTAGGGAGCTTTTGAGCTGCGATTAATGATGTTTGTGCACTTGTATGACTATCCTTGTGAGGACCATTTTCAGTTTTATACCATAGTGAGGACATTTTGGTGAGTCATCACTTTCTGAAAGGGCAGTCTGAATGTAGAGGCTTTAGGGTTAAGGTTAGTATTTTGTTCAGATTGGGGTAACGGCTGTATTAGCATGCATTTGGGTCAGAGACCATTATTCTGACAGTTTTTTCAGACTCCTCAAAAACTCTGACCATTTTTGTCTGTTGCATAATAAATGTAATACATTTTTAATTTAATTATCAAGTTGTGAGGCTGTTTTCTATCCAGGTATTCAGCAAGCTGCCATTTTTTTTACTGATTTGGAAATGGAGCTGCCACTTGGGAAATGAGTTTAACATCTTTTTATCATTTAGTGAACTGAATATTTTATCATGCAGATGGATAGAATAGTCTTCAGGGATTCTGCAGTTATGTTCAGAACGATGGTAAGTATGTTTCTAAATGATCCTCTGGGTTTTCAATTCTTTGAGAAACCGATTTGACCAAATGTGCTGAAACATGAGGCACACACTGAGGTCAGGGTTGGGGTTCTGATGCTTATGGTTAGAGTGAGAACACATGATATGTATTGACAACAAATTTGTCTTTGACTGGATGGTTATGGCTCTAATGACTGGAGAAACATATCAGTAACAGTCTCTTCATTTTGACATGACCAGTAATGACTGGTCCTGTTTAAATGGGTGCTCATTAGGGAGCTTTTGAGCTGCGATTAATGATGTTTGTGCACTTGTATGACTATCCTTGTGAGGACCATTTTCAGTTTTATACCATAGTGAGGACATTTTGGTGAGTCATCACTTTCTGAAAGGGCAGTCTGAATGTAGAGGCTTTAGGGTTAAGGTTAGTATTTTGTTCAGATTGGGGTAACGGCTGTATTAGCATGCATTTGGGTCAGAGACCATTATTCTGACAGTTTTTTCAGACTCCTCAAAAACTCTGACCATTTTTGTCTGTTGCATAATAAATGTAATACATTTTTAATTTAATTATCAAGTTGTGAGGCTGTTTTCTATCCAGGTATTCAGCAAGCTGCCATTTTTTTTACTGATTTGGAAATGGAGCTGCCACTTGGGAAATGAGTTTAACATCTTTTTATCATTTAGTGAACTGAATATTTTATCATGCAGATGGATAGAATAGTCTTCAGGGATTCTGCAGTTATGTTCAGAACGATGGTAAGTATGTTTCTAAATGATCCTCTGGGTTTTCAATTCTTTGAGAAACCGATTTGACCAAATGTGCTGAAACATGAGGCACACACTGAGGTCAGGGTTGGGGTTCTGATGCTTATGGTTAGAGTGAGAACATAGGGAATGCAGTGTGAATAACAAAGACTGTAGAGAGTAAATCCACAAACAGCATGAGCACTGATGAATCTGACCATCTCCACCTAACTCTCCCCAGCTCCAGCAGCAATCCGTGGTTGCTCAGAGCCCCCTGGTGAGGCGCGTCAGGCATGCCTGGGTGTGACAAGGTCTGGGCGGCATCGTTGGAGCACCATCAGCAGTTTGAGTGCTGACAGTGGTGTGGTGGGTCTCAGTGATGAGCGAGAGGAGGACGACAGCAAGCCTCGGCGTTTTCGCAGGAGCCGTGGAGCCGAGGTGGAACGGGTGGATAGTGGCATTGGCCCGGGTCTATCCCGCACCTGGAAGAGACCATCTGCCTCCCTCAGGGCCTGGGAGGCCCAGAGACCATGTCCAGACTGTGGATTGAGGGACGGGGCCTCCAAAGAGCAAGGAGAGCGCATGTGTGAACGTTGCTCCAAGTTGCGCACTGAGCGTAAAGAAGCCATCCTTGAGTTTCTGAACACAGAGTCAAGCTATGGTGAGGATCTGCGGATCATTAAAGAGGAATTTTACTGCCCCATGCAGAGTGCCGGGCTTCTGACAGCTGAGCAGCTCGCTGTGGTGTTTGTTAATGTTCAAGAGCTGATAGACGTCAATGACCGCTTCACTGAACACCTGCAGGACAGCATCGACCAGGCCTTTGACCAGGTGTCTCACTCTCTCTCACTCTCATGCATATACTAATGGTTGTATGTTTTAATGCTCTTAAGCTTCAAACACCTACTACTGTTATATAATTCACATTCAAGCTCACTTTTAACAAGCCATTAAATACTGTGGTTTCTTTTGAGTGCAACTGCCAATTTCTTTTTAAGTCATAAGGAGGATGTTGAAACTGCAAGACCACAGGGATTGGTGAAATACAGTATATCTTAACTGAATGTAGAACTAGTAAGAACTCAGCTGCATTCTGGAACCAGGATAGGTTAAAAAAGTGGATTGAGTTAGTCAGTTAGGGGGGTTATGAAAGCATGTACAGTTGGCTACAAGTATTTCACCATCTGCAATACCAAAATGGAACCAATTCTAATTATTTTACATTAAAGAAAAAGGCAGATTTCGTTACATTTCTGACATGTGGCTTGAGAACAGCTACTAAATGAACCTGAATTGTTTTGTCAGCCAGTTTATTATCATTTGGCCTTTTCCATCTTGTTTCAAGATGCAAATATTTAGAAAAAGTCTGAATTCTGAAGTCTGAAGGGGAGAAGTTATAATTGTCACTTTAGAGCTTGGTGTGGCCTTGTGGGAAGTGACAAGGTCAGAGCCAAATAAAAACATATTCTGCATAATGTTTCATGGTAGAACTAATTTTACTGTACTAGCAGATCTTTTAGACACAAAAAGGCTTGTGACACCCCAAGCCAAGGGTCGGCTGTCGGGCACTGTCAAGCCGTTAGTGAGTCTCTGTCGCCCTTGTCTTCACACCGTTGCCATTAGCCAGAGCCTGTTGGTGGCTTTTGGGCCAGTTTAGCATCCTGAATCAGCGGCGAGAGAGACTTGGTTGGCTGTTTGGCTTAGCAAATCAATGCATGAGAAGAGAATGGTTCGGGAAAGTCCCTTCAGCCTGTCGCTGTAGTATCCATGATTTCACACATTTAGTGCAGTTTCTCCTTGTTTTTCACCTCCACAACCTCCTTTCTTCCCACAACCAAAAGACCCAGGGCAGACGACGGCAGTGTCATTTGTAACTTCTTATCAGACATATTCTCAACTAGAAGCAGCTGTAAACAGCAGCTGTGTTGAACAACGGTTACTTTGTTTAAAGACGGTCTAATTCTTCTTTCCCTTTCTGAATGACAAACACAGATAACGCCACCTACTGGTAGAGAGTTATTTCTCTCACACAGGCGCAGAACGTACTGCACATGCTAGCTGGCTGCTGGCTGTAGTCTGTGCAGTGTGTCCAAGTGCCAGACAAAGGCAACGTGAGATGACGTGACAGTCGGCTTGTGTCAATGCTAGGGCTTTTATGTTGGCTTGGTGTGTTGCTGCCCTAAAGGACAGCAGTGACTTGCCAAAACAAAGTGCAATACATAAATAAGATGAACATTGACATTTGCTCTCATGTGATTTGGCCTCAGGGAGATGAGGACCTGCTAACAGTGTACATAGGAGAGATCTTTCTAGAGTTCGTCAACATGCTGCCTGCCTTCCAGACCTACTGCCTGCAGCAGTCCACCTCAGTCAACATGCTCAACACGCTGGAGAAGGAGAAAGAGCTGCTCAGGTACAAAAGACTACAGGGATTCTTATTCCTGTTCCTCTGGGACCTTTCTCTAGTTCCTTCCACAACAGCGGGTTATTACTAATTTAGAAGAAGTCCTGTTTTGAGAGTCGAGTTGCAATGATTCCTATTTTTAGACAGACCCACAGCTCACCCATGAGTCAGGCTGTCCTGTGATTCCCATTAATTAGCTTTTTAAGAGATTTCCCAAGACATGCACAGACTGTGTGAATCTCTCCATTTCCATCATAATGTTCTTTCACTTTTCTTTGCAGAATCTTCCTGGATGTTTCCCAGAATGATAACACAGCACTACGTCGTATGAACTTGCGCTCTTTCCTCATGGCGCCCCTCCAGCGGGTGACCAAATACCCACTTCTATTGAGCCGCATCATTAAGGTCACTCACGAATGTCACCCCGATTACGCACGTCTCCGTGAGGCCAAGAGTCGGGTAGAATCCCACCTGGAGCACATCAACATGAAGACCAAGCAAGAGGGCAACGGCGTCAGCTGGTCCCTCCGCTCATTCCGCCGTGACAGCCGCAAGAACCGGGAGGTCATCAACATTGAGATGCGAGAAGTGTCGATGAAAACAGTGGGCTGGGCAAGAGAAAACACACGCTTTGTCATGGAGGGACCACTCCAGCTGTCCCAGCCTGCAGATGGCCAGTGGGTGAAGAAGGGTAGCAAGGCCCTCAAGTTCCAAAATGTCCAGAGTCTGCTGATGGTGAGGACTCAGCGGGTGGGTGAAGCCTCAGGACAGGTCACCGACCTGGGGACACAGGGAGATCAGAGGGAGGGTGGCGGAGAGAGTGTTCGAGATGGAGTTCTGGTTCTAATTAAGGACAAAAGCAGCGGGAAGTTCACAGTCCTGAGAGAGCCTATCCGTCTGGGAAACTGTGTGGTGTCAACAGAGCAGGACTGTGAGGACACGTTCGAGGTGCTTGATATTCGACGAGAGTCTTTTGTTTTCCGCTCCTCTGACAAATCTCGCACCCAGCAGTGGTTCCATCAAATTAGGAGATACGCTCGAGACTTGGGCACCTGGAGGAAAAGACGCAATGCTCTGCCCAACATCATGATCAATACAAACCAGACCCGCTCTTGAGACTAATCATCTCTCTGAGCACCTTTGTTTCACTGTAAATAATCTGAATCCTTCTACTGCAAAAATCAGCTGACAACAAGATGCATTTCTGAGTGACAACACTGTTATAACTTGTTCGACTCCAGTTTAAAAAACACTCTCTTGTTAGTAAGAGAAAGACACAGCACTTTTTTTCTTACAAAGCTGTAAGTACACCATACATGAAATTATGTATGAAGATTTTATTTTAAGTCATTACATTTAAAGAAAAAGATTATTGGACAACCAAAAAGCTTGGTCTATCAGCCTTGATTGTAAAGACTGTTTGCTCCTGGAGAAAGGGAGCTGTGTTTTCGCTAAGTAAGCATGACTGAACATGACTGACAGCAAAAAGAAAAATGTCATTTTTAAATTAAAGACAATGGGGGGTTTAATATATTGTGGTGGAGATGTGGTCAAGAGCAAAGTTCAGTGGCGTCTGCTTGTCACTGCCCTCTCCTGTCTGTGTCTCTACCATCTGTTGGCGGTAGAGCAACTTTCACTGCCAGAGATGCAGTTGATCAGAGCCTCTAACAGGCTGAACAGAAACAGACCTCCTGTATCACTGTGTTTAAATGAGAACTCACGTAACAGCAATAACGTCTGCCAGTTTCAAAACAAGTAGCTACTATATATGCATTTATTTTCCCAAGATTTCCTCTGGAATTCAGGGGTTTATCCTGCATCAGTGCACGCTGTGATTCTGAGGGTCATGATGATTCGACTGAAGTCTCAAATCTGTCCATGTTTGTTGGCACCAATAAGGAATTAAAAGATATTTAGTGCCATGAAAGCAGATAGCGAGAAGTCTAGTCGGTCTCCTTTGTGTTAAAGTCACACTAAGCAGTTTAAGTCAAAGACTAGAGTTTTCAGTTTTGTGTTCAGGACCTTGCGTGGGATTGCAGACAGGGACAGATCTGTTGATATTTTGGTCTAAATGTCTGAAAGTCCCTGAACCAAAAAACAGTCTTCTAATTTTTTGTTCATCTGTAACAGTCCAAAACAGGAAGCAGCAGACTTTTGGCTATTGAAACTGAATAAATGGCTAAAACTATTAATTTTTGAAATTAACTTTGTCTTCTGACTGATCATTTCAGCATTGTACGTAAATAAAACGTTTTCTTTCTGATCCCGATTTTTAAATTGCCATAAACCACGGTTACTCTGCTTTCTGGGATTTTTGACAATTTGCTGAAAGCTGAAGACCCCTGGGCACCCGATGAGCACCCTAACCATCTGTGTGTTATGCGACCTAGTGATGAGCTGTTGTGCCTTGGTACTTGATTACTGTTAAGCTACAACCGTCACAGTAGCATTTATCTCCGAGTATGGACAGACTGCCCACTGTCAGCACGAGATCGATTTACAGGCAATATAATTATTCCTCTGACAGTCACCTGGTCCTTGATTTTTTGTGTTTTTACTGTCCCTAGTGTGTTTTTATTTATGAAGGCTTTATTTTGTTTAATGCACCTTATCATCACTCAGTAACAGAACGTCTGGTAAAGTATTACAATAAATTCGTTAAATTCACATTTCTTCATATCAGAAGGAACCTACTCGACCAAAGCTGCTGAGCCTGAAGTTCGAGACGATATAGTCGATCCAAACCAAAACCACTGTTTAAGACCAATACTGTTTTAAGTTTGCTATAAAGCAGCACCAGAAGAGGTAGCGAATGACTGTTCTGGAGGGCAGGGCTGCTCCATACGAACACTCCTGTGCTGTCAGAGGACACAGTCTCAGATCAACCCTTTCACAATGGTTTCATTTCTGTTCATCTGCAGGTAAAAGACCTAATATATTATTTCCGCAGTGTAATATATTGTGAATTATATTAAAAGATTTTAAACATGGCCTATTTTTTGTAGTTTTCTGTGCAATATGCTCATTTGTAAAGTTTGATGATGCTCGACATGCAGGATGTAGAAATAGATTTAGAGTAATTTCAAGCATATTTAGGACAACTGATTCAAAGATGGCAAGAGACACAGTACAACGCACTCCAGGGAACAAGTACGAGATGCAAGAGAGTGAAAATGAATTATTTCAAAAAATACAATCCAGCTCCACTACAGTACAGAAGCATGGATGCTGACAATAAAAACAAACCTTCAACAAATTTCCATAAGTGAAAGAAACAAGAAACCGTAAACATATGAAATTCAGACTATCTCGTATCTTCTCATGAAATTCCAGAGAAAGTGTCATCACTCGCCAACCAAGACATTAACCTGCCTCCACAGACACCTTCATTGGCACTGTGCTGTGAATGAACCTAATTAACCAAAAAGCTTCATATCTACTGTTTATGTGAAGTGCATCGTTGTCATTTCTTTGGCTCTACTGCTCCTGGAGCCTCACTTATAAAGATTATGAAAGTCAGAATGCATCAAAATGCTGTCTAATGTATTGAGTGGCTGTCACCATCTTTAGTTTTGTTAGAGTCTAGATGTAGTTGTTTGATTGTTACACATACTTTTGCTTTATAAATAAGGCTCCTGGCCCTCTGGTTGGATGCATCCATTTCTGAACACCGACTCCTGAGAAACACCACTAGGTGCCAACTCTTCAGGTGAACACCACAAACACATTTCACATTTTTTCTGTGCGTTTGTTTTTGTAAATGAAGACAACCACAAAACGTAGGCTCTGCACAGCAGGAGCACCAAACGATCTCCACTTCTCTTCCTGAATGAATAAAACACCAATATACTATATTTCAATAACAGGAAGTTGAAAGTTGCAAATTAGATGAAACTGTTATATGAAACATTTCAGTGAAACAAAAATGGATTAAACAGACGAATTAAGAACGCATTTCCAAAAACCAGCGACACGCCGAACCTTTGATCTTAAGCCTCTGAACAAGGTGGTCAAACTGCATCAGTGTCTCTACCCCCCTTTTGACAGACCACCATCCATCTAATGCACTCCTCATGCATGCATTCACACAAACACTCATAGAGTCTGTCCTAGGCTGCTGGAACCTCAGGCCGATCCCTGGGTCTCGCCTTCCATGTAGAGGCCCCAGCCTGGGGTGGCTACCACGTCCTCCTCCGTCTCCCACAGCCAATAACAGTGTCCGAGCTCTACTTGTCCCCCCCAGCCTCGGGCTCCTTGGCCAGGCCGCGGATGGACAGGTCGTACACTACCTCCTCAATCTTCTTCACGTCGTACTTGAGACCGTCGTAGCGCTTCCTCAGTGGGTCATTCTTCAGGTTGAGCAGGCGGAAGCCCGAGTCCAGCTCGTTAATGAAGTTGGAGATGCGTAGTGGCCGGTTGTAGTCTCCTGCTGTCACGCTGTTTACCGCCAGCCGTGACTGGAGGACAAAATAATGGCATAAATTAAACCCAAAGACTCAGCTAATGATGTTCATACAGACATTTGTAGCTAAACACACTGAAGACTGCAAATCAAATTATCATCAGAATCAGCTTTATTGGCCAGGTGTGTCGGACACACGAGGAATTTGACTCTGATACATCAGCTCTCAGTGTGTATGTACATATCCCCATGCAAGAGATAAGTAAACAGTAAACCAGCATAAGGCTGTGTAATATAACAGAATAAACAGTATCAACAACAACAAACAGTGCAAACAATGCAAAATAAGCAGTATAGACAGGCAGTAAATGATGCAGACAGACAAAGGAATGCTCATTGAGATGAGATAAATAGGAATAAAAACAGAGTACTTAAAACTAGAGACCTGTACAAGTCTGTATAATCTGTACGAGGTATATTTACAGGTGTTGCACTGAGGGTTATTGTCCAGTCATACTGTTGTGGGTTAAGTGTTCATCAGAGTGACAGCCTGGGGGAAGAAACTGTCCCTGTGCCTGGTTGTCTTGGTGCACAGCAGTGGTTCTCGAAGTGTGGTGCGCGCCCCACTAGTGGGGAATAAAGCCATGACAGGTGGGGCGCAGTGAACGGAGAAAATTAGAAATGGGTCATTAATACAAGTAAATTAAAATAACATCAGTTCTGGACCAGGGAGAAAAAAGTGGAACCATAGTGCAACAATAACTGTTTAACGTCGGCATGTTAACTGCCGCGCAACAATATAAGGAAACGTTCACACAGAGGGCCAATAGTGTACGTAGTGGGTATAATAACGTAAATGGATATACGTGTTACATGGACCACAAAAAAGCAGACAATTCAGCGCAAGTAGACAAAAAAAAAAAGACAGGCAGTAGCCTTATCAACCAAAAAGCCAGACGAAAAGAAAATATTGATGAAGGATTCACGGTGGGAACGGTGGGGGCAGAGGAGGGACCCGTGTGTGTCTTAAACCGCTGGCAGCAGACAGCATGAGACCCAACCAATTAAGAAGACATTTAGAGATGTTAATAAACCACTCGACTTCTTTGAAAGAAAATTGGCAGAATACCGTTAGCAAAAAAAATCGCATGGTAAAATCCACATCAGTGAACAGCAAAGCACAAATGGCTTCCTTCAAAGTTGCATACAGAATTGCCCAGTGTAAAAACCACACAACAGCTGAGCAGCTTTTTCTCCCTGCTGCTGTAGACAGGGTGTCAGTTATGTTGGATGAGACAAGTGCTGAACTATCCCCCTGTCAAACGATACAGCTGCACTTATATTTTATCTGTTTTGAACTTGGTGTTATTTGATATTAAAATACATTTGAAAGTTATTATTTTTTGACAAGTGGGGCTTGAAAATTCGCCCACCCTCTTAAGTGGGGAATGACAGAAAATGTTTTAGAACCACTGGACTAATAAGGATGTATTCCATCTTGCTCTCATTTAACTGCAGAAAATTTAGCGCAAGCCATTGCCTAATATCCCAAATGCAATTATGCAACGAGGTAAGAGAAATGGAGTCATATAGGAGCAGTGGCATATAAATCTGAATATCATCTGCGTAAAAGTGGAAATGAACATTATGGCTAGAAATAATAGCCGCAAGAGGTGAAATATATAGAGAAAAGAGGAATGGAGCCAGGGTCGAACCTTGCGGACACCTGAGGTGAGGGGAGCTATATTGAGACGCAGTCGCCAATACTAACAGAGAAGGTTCTGTCGGTCAAAAAGGAAGAAAACCAGTTTAACACAGTGCCTTTAAGCCCAAGGAGGTGTTCAAGTCTCGACAAAAGAATAGCGTGATCGACAGTATCAAAGGCTGCAGATAGATCCAAAACAACTAACAAAACAGGACATTTGGTATCGAGAGCCATAGTGATATCATTATGAATCATAAGTAAAGCGGATTCTGTACTATGGCGGGGCTTAAAGCCAGATTGAAACTTATCAGCTATATTTAAACAATCTAATGTTTGTGTTTAACCAGGTATTTGCTCAAGGTCACATGTGTTGCCATGGCCAACTCTGCATTTCACATGACAAATATTGCAGAGAGAATTGCCTGCATCAAGTTTTCAAAAGTGCCACCACACTTGAGACTAGATTTTTTTTTATTCTGTATCATTAGAAGAGTCTATGAGGATTCAGGAACCACTTTCAGGGGTGACGCAAGTGCTGTTCAATGTTATGGGCTTAAAATGTTCAGCATGTATCAATTGCCCTGGTTAGCAGAGGATTATCTTGGTCAGTATATGCAATAGAAGCACAACCTGGGACAAGCCATTGCCCTGACTGTGTGTTATCTTTGAACATGTTGCAAGGTGATGCCACATGGTCTTGTACGCTCTCTCTCTCTAACATAAACTTTGCACTCTTACTCAGATGTGCTCTTAGCCCAAGTACTGAAATTTGGCACTGACTGATTTAACGTGAATCGATACTCAGTAGTGCTGATGTAATCTGGTGGATACCATTAAAAGTAGCAAGTTCAGGACCTAATCGTTAGGACTATAGCAGATGATTAATATACTTACCAGTTCACTGGCCATGATCAGCACACCTGCCAGGTAGTCCTCTATGTCCAGGTGAAAGCCTTTCTCTCGCACCACCTCAACTGCAGGGTGAAGAAAGTAGGGGAAAAAAACAAGTAAGGGCACGTTCCTCAGTAAAAGGTACACACTAACACAGGGACTGGTACCTACTGCCAAGTATCTGAGCCACCTCCTCCCGAGTCACAAGAGTCTCACTCTCTAGGTAGACAACAAAGGCTGCTAAGAACGCCAAGCGCTGCAGGACGAACCGCCAGTGCTCATGGAACCTGAAGTGGCATCAGAGAGACCAGAGAAAGGGAGATAAAGCTATACATTTTATTCCAGCAGGATAATCCACTTAGTTTCCATTTTTGTAACTTCCTGAATAAAACCAAACTGAATTTTGAGTACACAACTTCTCACAAAAACACATTTGATTAAGGGAAATCAGTGTTTAGCTTTAAGTTATATGCTGATGACTTAAGATACGACTTCAAGTGATAAAATAATAAAAGCCCCAGTGTAAAAATGCTTTGAATTATAAAGTTAAAATTATCTTTAAAACTAGATTAAACAAAACAAATACAGACAGGACCATTTAAGACTGAATGTGGAAATATGAGTCACTGCTAAAGCTGAGTAACGGGAAATATTTCCTGTGCTGAAAAACACAGACACAACCAGACAAAGGTGTCCTAAAAATGTCGTGTTTAAACAAGAAAGTTGTGACCAAATGAAAGACTTGCTGTATATTTCAGCAGAATAAGTATGAAATATAAAGTAAACTTTCAAATGCCGACTCAATTTGTACTGATTAATCACAAAAACAGCTGAAAACTGCATCTGTAATGAAACATGGCTCATACCTGTAATACTGTTCCACAGGAAATTTAGTCTTGAGGTCTGCCATCTGTGTCTGGACTGTGCAGAACAGCTCACGTGCCTTTGCACATTTACTAGGAACTAATGGAAAAGGGGGGGGAGAGACTCGTTTTAAAAACTGCAGGGTCATATTTGAAAGGATGAGCAACATTATGCACACGGCAAAACAATTCCTTCTCCGTGTCAAACACCCACTTTCTTTGAATCCAGATGGTTGGTGGACACTTTGGAGAAGCGTCAGTATCTCTCTGGCAGTCTGCTCCAAGACCTGGACCACTTTACGGATATCCTAGTGCACAAAGTAGAAGAAGTGTTTTATACAGCTCACATTGTTTTCTATTAAAAGACATGCCCAACTCCTCTAACATGCCATTTAAATTAAAGATATACCATTATCCACATAGAATCCCTTCTTTTTAATAGACCACATATTTTTATTATATTTAAAATGGAAACCAGTTGTGGATGAGGACATAATTAATCAAAGTGAGATTTGAAAAGTCACTTGGAAACATTTCAGGCATGTCTAGAGGTTAAACTATTGAAACGATCAACATTTACATATTAATAGATTCTGGACTTTTCAACGGAGAAGAAATAATAATAATGTTAAAGGGGGCTAAAAGCTTTTCAACGTTTTTAAAGATTGACATTTTAACCGACGTTTGGTTTGGATAAGGACAATAAGGATGGCTGGCTCAGTGAAAACAGAACATAACGTGTGAAAAATAAAACAAACACCGGAAGCCGCTGTTTCCGTATAAACAGGACTTCGGACATTTTTGTCCAGTTTATGGAGTTGCCGTGTTTACCGTGTTTACCGTGTTTACCATGCTTTGACAAGACCTCGGCTCCAGTTAGCAACTAGCTAGTTAATTGTCTAAGGGGGCTAATGTTGATAGCAACCTAGCAGCTGCGTGGCGAGCTGTGCGTTCATACCTCTCTGACGTCGTGGTCCGCGCTCAGGAAACCCTGGATATAACTGAACATCTCGGTGACCGACATTTCTTCTCAGAGTCAAAGTGCCCGCACGATACCAATGATGAACCGTCTGCAGCTAAATCAAAAAACACACCAACGTGCACGACAACCGTCCACTCCACCTCGACAAGCGCATAGAGATGACGTCATGGTTTGTCGCTCCGTTGTTTGTTTGCTTAAAATAAAATAAAATAATAATGCATGTGGGTTTATATTGCAGTACTAATAGTGCACATATCAACAAAATATATGTGGAAAATACAAAACATGACTTAAAATCACTGTAGGAATAAAATATATTTATCTATTTATTTGTCGGGCTAATTCCCGTCTGCAGATAATACATAGGCCTATGTAGACACTACCGTGTTAAACTGTTTATTTTAATCTGTTATCATAATACCAATAACATAATTTCATTCCGTTTTTCTGTCTTTCTTTCTTTCGCATCATTTGTGCACACTTAAAAAACAACTTTCCACAAACTGTAGGCTTTAACAAAGTCGGTTAAAACACACTTGATGACATAATAAGAATGCTAATAGTATACAAGGTATGAAACTGAATTAATAAACAGAACCGGTATTGTTTACATGTCAGAGTTGTGAACTCTCCTTTAGCCTGAGGTGATGCTGGTGGACACATGCTGCGTTACCTGATTCACCCTGGTGACGGAGCCAAAGCAGCGCTCTTCCCAATGTTGCCTTCATGATCTGCTCGAAAACAGCAACACCAAACGCAAAACCGTGAACTCTTACCAGCTCGATGTCATAGAGCAACAATATAGCAAATGTGATATTTTGATTATAAGAGTTGTGTTTATTATAAATTTAAGTTAAGCGGCTCATATTCACTTGTTTGTTATAGTCTCTCTTGCATCAGCATGCCCTGTCTAAATCAAATGTTTTGGAAATATCAAGCCTCTTTGTGTTTCTATTAGATGTCAAAAGTTGATAAACAATTACTTATGGTTTTCACTGTCTAATAAATCATCAGGGTTATCATTATAAATATGAGTAGCTATCACATAAAGGGTCTTGGGTTTTCCGATTTCTAATGAGCCATTAGCAAAAGTTACCTGCAAATATAAATGTTAATAAACCAATGAAGTCTGCACCTGTAGCTATATGTAAATAACGAAATAAATTTTGGTCTAGATTCTTGCAATGCTTTTTCAGAAGATAAATGGTCAGAAAGTCCAGTGGAGGGGTCTGACTTAAAGAGCAACTCAGAACCTGTTCCTATTAATTGCTAATAACGGATCTATATACTAGTAAATGGTGCGTTACATTTGATTTGATTTGATTTGATTTATTTATTCTTTCAAGCATGTAAAGACAGTTGATATATCAACACACATAATTTTACACATATCCAACAAATGCTAATCCAATATCAATTTGCTTATACCTAGTACATGCTTGAATGGAGTAGGAAGAAGTCAGACTTATCCAGTCCTACCCCATGAATACAGCAGACAAGAAGGATCTAATGGTACTTACTGATCTCTGGTCAGGTTCAGGTGATGAGCCCTTCTCTGCAATTCTTCTCCTGTAAGACAGAGTCCAGAATTATTTCTGAAAAACAGTTGCTATTTTTAAAAACATATCATCATGTTTAATGTTAATATCATAAAGCACAGACCACACAATTCCTCCTGAACTCCACATTTTTAAAACCTAAATTCCTTAGATTTCTCTAGATCTTACAGTGATACTTCTCTGTCAGCAACAAAGTGCATTTAAATTACGATTTTACTACATATCATCTCATAATACTGAGGAATAGTGAGAGTGATGAGTACATGAACTTATTCTTCAGGTGGCACAACAAAATCCATTGCGACCAACATTGGGGTTTGCTAAATCTACTGTATGGCAACTGTGTCAAGTTTCACTTTTCTGTAGTATATGAAACAAGATCTGAAATTCATTCATATGACTCAAGTGCCTATTTTGAGACGTACTGAATCGAAGAGTAATATATGATGTGTCGCTACCTCCTTGCTAACAGGGCACTCATCTCCTCCATGAGCCCTCCTCCTCCAGGCAGAGGGCCGTTGCCTCTGGCTTCAGATTTGGCCCCTCCAGCCCCTGGCATGGCTGCTGCCAGAGCGGCCGCCGCCT